GGTTGGTAACTTGTATCCCGTGGATTTTTCAGACTTTAGATTTTCTCCTAAGCTCAGCCCTCCTTTTACTTTGCTTTTACAAGCACTTCAGTTGCAGCTCCTGGCCAGGGTTCCCACGGGTACATTAGGAAGATAAGCAGCCATGAAGAAAGGGTCTATAGGAAAGATTTGGATGGGGAAACTGACCCTAGGGAGAAAAGTGAGTTGGAAACCCAGAAGGAAACTTTGCTTCCTGGTTGAAAATAACTGAAATTTTCCCCTAGGAGGGTTTTCGGACCCCAAATCTAGCAAGTGTCAATGGGCTCTTCTCTCTAACTCTTCTAGCCCAGAGTCCTGACTTTGGGGTATGATTATGCATTTACACAGCCCTCTACAAAGTCAGCCATTTCTTTCTAGAGGAATGTTGAACTAAAATACCCTGGACAAGCCAATAAGCTGAGGGTAAGGCTAGCTGGGTCATTCCACTCCTCCATAAACTGACAATTGCAGAGCCCAGGAGGACTGGGGGAATCCCCTTTGTCTCACCCCTCCTGTTTGAGGGGTGGTTTTGTTGCCCAGCTAGAAGAATGGATGAGACAGCCTTCCTAGCTTCCTTTTTTGGTTAATTGGTGTTCCCTCTAGTTATTCCCTGTTTCCTTCCCCTCCCAGTTCCCATAGCAACTGGGTTGTAGCAGCCAGAACTCGATTGAGACCTGTGGTGGCCCTACTGAGGTGGGGAAAGGAGGGCTCTGGTAGTTCAAGGTTTCCTACCCACCTCCTATTCCCCATCCCTGCTCCCTCAAGGATCTAGGATGGTTTCACTCAGAGAACAGGGCATAAAGAAAAGGCTTTCCTGACAGGGCTTGAGTTTGAAGATTATGAAACTGTAAAATAGGCCTTGTTCTTCTTGGCTGTCTTCTTATATCTGACCCCTGGTGTCTGAACCCTAGTTGAGGATCTAGTTGCTGACAGGATTTTTCGGTAGGAAGATTCCTGGAGTTGGAAATAGGAAACCAGGTTTGCAGCTACTTTCTTTACTATTATTTTATGTGGTTATACTCAGTTATACTCAAGTTCTCCCCCTTTTAGGCCTCAGTTTCTCCATCTATATAATAGTAAAAACTGACTTTCTCAATCCTGGCTACATGATGAAAATTGCCTGAGGTCACTTTCCAATTACAGATGTGTGGGGTTTTGCCTGCAGGGATTCTGACTTTGTTGGTCTGAATACCAATACTCATTCATTCCCTAGTGGTTCTAGTATACAGCCAGAGTTAAGAATCTGAGAGCAAAAGCTCTCCACAGGTCTCTCAGCATTCTTTACCTGGTTCTAAGACTCTTCCTCCTCTTCCTACAATGCTCACCTCAGCAAGCCCTTCTGTCCATTTCCTATTCTTCCAGAGGAGTGCCCATGACACCTGTCAAAGTCCCAACTAGCTAGCCACCTGGCAAAAATGAGACAGGACAAGGTATATAGGATGATCTTGGGAACAGGGTTTCAGAGTCTAAGGTGGGTTTATTGCCAGGTGAGCCAGCCTATCACCTAAGACAGGTCCCAGGTCACCTTAAAGCATATGGTCCAGCAGTGGCTCAGCTGGCCAGCTGTGGGGCTTAAGAATTAGATTCCCTGGGAGATCACTGTGGCTCTTCTACTTCTATCCCCTCATTAGTTTCTTGCCTGTTCCTGCCTCGCCACCCACAGGCCTGGTGTCCTCCCCAGGCAATCTGCTCACCCACTTGTTGCCATGGTGACTCCAACTGGGGGTGTGAGGACTGAAGGGGGGTCGGCTAATTAAGGAGAAAGGCCATACTCCCACTGTCAGGCCATCCCTTCTCCCTCCCCCACCTCTCAGATGAAGGGAGTGCCCAGACTCTATAGTTTGTTACTGAGCTAATTGCAAATGCCTGTGAGGAGAGCAGGGATGTCACTGGAACTCCTCATCTAGAAGCAGGAGCACTGGACTGGAAAAGCCAAGGAGACTCTCACAGGGCCCTTTGAGCCCCAGCTCCACTGATGAGCACAGAGCAGGGGGCTGATTACAGTTTGGGGAGAGAGTGGGGTGGGCTCTTGGACCAGGCTACTAAAGTGGGGCTGAGGCTATGGACAGAAACACATCTTGGCACTTAGGGGCCCAGAAGATGGAAGGCATTATTAGGTGCTAAGGCCCTTGGCTCTTAAGATTTTACTTTCTTTTCGGCCTCACTTCTGCTTCTTCTTTCCTGGTCAATCATAGATCCTTCTTTCAACATATATGTATTTTTTTCTCATTTATTCTTGTCTTTGTTTATCCATCCCCATGCTCTCTTGCTCCTATCTTTTTTTTTTACTCCCTTTCTTAACCCCTTCTCTCAGAATCCCCCTCTTGCCTCCATCTTACCCCTTCTGCCCCTACCTGATCTTATCTTCCTGCTCTTCATTACCCTTCTCCCACATTCACCTCTCTTAGCCCTGTAGCCCATGTACATCCTCCATCCCTCCTCCTGTTCTTTCTTCACAGCTGTTATCCTACCCCAGTGATTACTATCATCCTTTATCCTATGCACCTCACTTTTTATTACCCTTTTCCTTACACATCTTCTCATTTGCTACCTATATCACTGCTACTTTTTACCCTTTAAGCACCTTTCTTACTGCCTTCTTTTACCCTTTCAGCCCTTTCCCTGCCTTTCCCCCTTGCCTGTTCTTTTTCACTCTTCTTTGACTCCATTATTCCTCCTTGGTTGATGTGTTTCATCTCCGTTGTTTCACCGTTAGGAATTTGTATAAATAAAACTGAAAACCATTAGACATGTGTGCAAAGATATCCAGTAGAACACTGTTTATCATGGTCACAAGTTAGAAGGAACTCTGATGTCCATGGACAAGAGTTTACCCACCTTTCCATGCCATTCATAAGAAGTCATTCTCTTCTCTTAGTCCATGTATACTCATTCACTCTATATCTTTGCTTAAACTGTTGCCTCATTGCTCCTTGGCACATCCTCTCTATAAAAGTCCTTCTTTGGGACTAATCTTGGCTCTTTTGTTTGAGACAGGGGCTCATGTATCTTTGGCTGGCCTTAAACTCACTATGTAGACAAAGATGACCTTGAACTCTTGATCCTTCTGCCTCCACCTCCCAAATGTGGGGATTATAAACACACCACCACACCCAGTTTAAACACTTCTAGGGATTGAATACAGGATGGAATTACAAGAGTGCACCACACCTAGTTTTTGGCTTACTAGGGACTGAGCCAAAAGCTTTGGGCATGCTATGAAAAACTCTACTATTGAACCACATCCATAGCGCCCAGTCTCAGTTGCTATCTCCTCATTGAAATTGTTCCCAGTTTACTATTATCTTAGCCACAATCAACCATTATTCATGTGTCACAGATGTAAGGTATGTCTACTCACGAAATTGGAATTTTCATGAAAGAAGGGACCTGCTCTCATTTACTTCTCCTGTTCATTCAGCCATAAGATTTTGAAAATGTGTATTGTGCTGAATGTACAATGGCTAATAAAGAAGCTTATAATCTTATATGTATCTCATAGTTTAGTGGAGCTGACAGAAACTGAAACAAAGATGCTGACAAAGTAGTATCTGTGGTGAAGAAACAGTTAAGAATAATTAGGGCTATGTCCTCTGATGAGAGTAGAGACAGCCTCAGCAGAAGTGATATTTAATCTGAATCCTGAAAGATGTAAAGGACTCATGTATACCAAAGATGGGGTGAAGAACATTCCAAGCCAGGAGATCACATGTGCCAAGCCCGGAGGTAGAAAGAAGTAGGGCATGTTCAAGAAAAAGAAATAAAACCTGTTTTGTGCATCAAGATGGGCTTGAAGAGAGATAGAAAATGAGGTTGGAGAGAGGTGGGCAGAGGTGTGCAGAGCTTTGAAGTCTGTGCTTAGACATTAGGCTTTTAGTCTAAATGCATCTAAGGGCCTGAAGCACCAGAGTAAGATAATTTGATAGCAGCTTGATTCCACTCTTATTCTCATGCAGTAAATTGGAACAAGCAGAAGTGGAGGTGGGAGGCATCTGTCATCCAGGTGAGAGATTATGATGGCTTTCAAAAAGTTGTGGCTTTGGTTCCCCCTCTCCTGGAGACATTTGACTAAGGCTGGGGACATTCTTTGAGAGGAGACATTGCTAATGGTATCTAATGTGTAGAGGCCGGGGGTGCTACTCAGTACCCTACAATGCACAGCACAACCCCCAGGACAAAGAATTATCTGTCCCCAAGTTCATCAAGTTTTTTTGAAAAACCATAGACTTGAAGAGAGAAAAGTTATACAACAGGAGCACTTTCTCAATAGAACCAGTGTCTGGGGTGGGGGTGGGCTAAATGAAGGGAAGAAAGTGCATTGATGAAGTGAAGCCACAAAGAAAGATTCCAAAAGCAATGGAGCAGTGTCTGGGATGTCTGCTTCAAACCAGGGCTGAAGCCAACAAAACAGAGCCTGGATTAAGTAGAGCTCAAAGACACATGTGTGCCTGGTAAGGCAGATTCCAGTTTTTATTAAAAATGACCCCTCACATTTGTATTGCCCTTTAGAGTTTATAAAACATTTTCATATACACCATACTATTTAATCCGTAATAGTTCAATGGACGTAGAGCATGAATTCTCATCTCTTCTTGAATTTAGAAGCTTAGCACCATCAGCAAAGGAAATGTTTATCAAGTTGAATGGAACTGATATTTGCCTCATTACTTATAGGTAACCTCAGAGGAGTCAATACTCCTCCTTGAACCAAGTGTAAAATGATTGAGTTAGATGAAATGATTGGTAACATTTCTTGTATTCTTACATAGGATTAATTTTGTGATTGTGGCTAACAATTCTAAATCTTTGATGATGGTGTATAGGGAGCCCTGGCTTTGAGATGGAACATCTCAGAGTAGGATATAAACACTTCCAACATGCCCCCCTCCAAACTCTGGGGTTAAGGTGGCTTAGCCCCATAAAGAAACACAAGAACTACCCCACATGGCACAAGGGCTGATGCTGTTTCCTTTCCTCCACAGGCTGTCTACAAGGCCTGGCTGTGCTCGGAATACTTCAGTGTGACCCAGCACGAATGCCAGCACTGGGTGCCCTGCAAGCAGTACTGCCTGGAGGTGCAGACCCGGTGCCCCTTTATCCTCCCTGACAACGAAGAAATGGTGTATGGAGGCCTCCCTGGCTTTATCTGTTCAGGTAAAAGCAGGGCACCGGGGGAAGAGGGAGGAGGTGAAAGAGGTTAGGGGTATTGGGGACAGGAAGGACATCAAGGAGAGTCAGGATAGTGGCAAGGAGAGTGGGCAATCAGGTCCCCAATTTGATATAGGGCCAAATGGAACACTCCTGCCAAGAGCCCTGGCCCCAGGGAAGGAGGCTGCTTACCTAGCCTCAGCCCTACAGGGAATGTTGGGGGGCACAGAGGAGAGTAGATCTCCCCCCTCCACATTCCTTTCGTTGCCAAGATCCTTAATTCCCTCCTGCCCATATCCCTACAGAGTGGCCATATCTACACAGAATATGCTGAGCCCTCAGTCACTGTGGAGAAGCAGGTTAGTCCCTGAAGAAGGGAACTTAGAAGGGAGGATGTGAGGGTTGGCGGGGAGGGTTTCTGGAGTAGGATTACCTGAGCTGAGCCTCGGTGTTGAACATCCCTTTTCCAGATGAGGTAGAGCCATCAGCCCCCTAAGTACCCCCCAACACATACCCCTTCCTTGTCCCTTGGCAGGGTTGTTGGATACTTCACCAAAGCGGCCGGAAACCAAGTGCTGTGATGTGCAGTGGGTCTCCTGTGAGTCGGAGAAGAAGAAGTTGAAGGGATCTGAGCCCCCCCAAACCCACCACCAGCAATTCCACCATTCCTATTTCCACCACTACCACCAACAGTACCACCACCACCCCCGCCATGAGCCCCCGAGCCGTGTCAGCAACAAGCCCTCCCTGCTGCCGGTCTCTGGGGGCTCCTGCCTCAGTCCCAGCAGGATCCGGCTCTGTGTCCTTGTTCTTATGCTCCTCCATACCGTAGTGTCCTTCTCCAGCAGCCAGGGTGGTGGGGGACTGGGGCTAGAGACACTGCCTGCCCTAGAGGAGGGCTTGACACAGGAAGAGTGACAACAGGGAGGGAGGACAAACCTCCACCACATACTGACATCAGCTCCGGCCCTGCTCCAGGCGGGGGGAGCACCTCCCATGGGAAGTATATGACCAGATGGGGGGTGGGGGACAAATGGGGGATCGGATATTGCCCCCAGTCTAACCCTTCCCTAAAAGCAGCTCCAACAGAATGGCCAAAGGGCCCACAAGGAGCCACAAAACTCACCCAGGAGAAAAAGATAGGAGCAACAGGTGTCCCCTCCCAAAGCCCCATCTATGGGGTTAGTAAAAAGGGGGGAGTGGGGGCTGGAATTGCCCACTCCTGCCAAGAGCCCTGGCCCCAGGGAAGGAGGCTGCTTACCCAGCCTCAGCCCTATAGGGAATGTTGGGGGGCACAGAGGGGAGTAGATCTCCCCCCTCCACATTCCTTTTGTTGCCAAGATCCTTAATTCCCTCCTGCCCATATCCCTACAGGTGACGGCAGACAGTGTGGTTGCCCTCCTGCCACTTCAGCACACCCTGAGTGTGGGGCCGTCACAGGTGAAGCTGGGGGATGAGGCCCCCAGGGCTGCAGCTAGGAAGGTGCCCGAGTTAAGCTGCCTCCACCACCCTAGGCAATGAGAGATTGGAACTGAACATGGAATGGGTAGTAAAAGAGAAGAAAGATAGGGAAGTGAAGAAGATAGCCTGAAGAGATAGATGGTTGAACTACTGCTACCTGGCTTTGGGGAGGTGGGTGATTAATGTTGAAACAGGCTCAAGAACGGTCCCCCAAATCAGAATGAGGTGCATAAGGAAACCCCTGGGGGAAAAGCCCAGGAGTCAAAATCTAGCAGGCTGAGGGCACATGGTTGGACTGCCGCTGTCTGGAGGGCCATATCTTACAGAAGGTGCACACACTCCCTAGGGCTGTTCTTGCCCTGGAAATCTTGGCCTTGTGGCCACAGACCTTTCATTTCCAATCTCCACAGGGAGGAGGGACTTGAGCCAAGTGCATCAGGCCTGGCCTAGGTCCCCCATACTCCCCCATCTTGTCCTAGCCCAGGCCTCCATGAAGGAGAACCTGGTGGTGTTTGTTGCCCCAGAGCTCTCCAGAGATGAGCCTCCCCTACCCCAACCTGTATCCATCCCCAGCCTACCAAAGAGTATTCATCCCTTCCCATCCCTGACCTTGTGGCCTATTGTCTCATTGAGGGACAGCTAGACTCCTCCTCACCCTTTAGTGGGTCCCTTTCTCTAGCCACCCCTTGCCCTTGCTGGACAAAGTTCCGAGACTGGCAAGAGGACTCTGCCTGGAGATAATGTGCTGCTGTTGACCCTTGGCTGAGAAATTTGTTTAGTCAGTCTAGAGGGACCAGTGAGAGATGAGGCTTAGGAGCCTTTGGCCTTGCACTGATCTGTGGGGGGGGGGAGTATTGGGGTAAGGGAGGACACATTGCTTGGGAATCTAAAAGCCAATGAAAGTTGACAAGAATGGGAGCCAGATTCTTTGTGGGGCAGGTCAGGGGCTTTCAGAGATCAAAAGGATGAATAAGAGATGGCAGACCTGGAGCAGCATTACAGAGAAAACAGGTGAAGGCAAGGGAAGGAGAAGCTGCATCTTGCCAGCTTTAGAATGGATGGAAGCCCCCCTAGTACATAAGAGTTCCTTCATTCAAGGACCATGGTTGGATCCCAAATCAGCTTTATGAGCCTATGAAGCCCTTCTCTGCCAGTTTACTCATATCTCACAGCCTGTCCTCTGCCTGGACCCTGTGTCCTCCATCTTTTGGCCCTCAGCACTTCGGGCCTGGCCACATACCCCATCCCTAGAGTGCTCTTTTCAGCTGGGGAGGGTAAGAGGTGCTGGACCCTTCCCAGATGTGCTTATATATAAGCGAAAGGTGGGGGCTTGAGCTCCGGAGAGACCCCAGTACTGCCTTCTAACTCCTGCATCCTCAGGAGGGAAAAGGGACTGGGTAGCAAAGGGGGACAGTATGGTCCCAGGGAATGGACCCTTGGAGACTCCCATCCTCTCTTCCCCCTCACCAAGTGCCCTGGAGACCCCTGGCTCAGACCAGCCCAAGGCCTTGCCCAGTGGCAGGGGAAAGGGGCACCACACTCCACCTCAAAGTCATTTGACTGTCCCCATCTCTAGACCCCCTGATCTTCACCACCTCCCCAGCTGCCCCTGCCCTCCGTCACTGGAAGCAGAGCTGGGCAGCTTTCTTATGCCATTTTCTACACTGTGCTTCATGAGTAGGACTTTCTTGCACTAGTTCCTATTACTGAGTCTCCAAGCTGGTTCCCTAGTAGTCTCCCATCCCTTCCTCCTTTCCCTGGCTATGGTTCAGTTGTCTCTGCCCTCCCTTTTACCTGCCTCTGTGTTTCAGTGAGAGTGTCTGTGTGTGTACTGCTTTCTGTTTTGTTGCACTGTGGGGCAGGAAGCTCTCTGCTCTCGTTTAACCCCTTAAATAAATAAATGGTAAAACTTGATAACACTTTCTTCATGGATTTACTGTGTAGAATAAAGCTCGATGCTCTAGGAAACAGTTTAATGTCTGAAGAGGACAATGGGCTGGAAGATGCCAACACTCTTGTTGGTTTAAATCTGAGAGGAAGCAAACTTTGTAGTGTACCATTCTAGACAAGGAAATCGCAAAGCCATCCACTGTAGTGGTTAAGCCAGTAACTGTAACATGGAGGGCGAAGCTGAGGAAAGTGCAGGCTCAACCTGGAATGTTAAGAACTTCAGAGCATATGGGAAGGCTCAAGTCCAGGGTTTTACTGTGGGAACATGAGGCATGTGGCCAGTCCTTATTCTCAATGCAAGGGAAGCCAGGATTCACAATTTTGATGTATTGCCCCTTAATTCCTAAAAGCTAATCAACCACCCTATCTAATTTCCTATGGTCACTGCACCAGGTTCATCTTTCCACTTCAAGGGCAAGACATACTCAGGAATTGCTGCTGAAGAAGCCGTGCAAGGGCCTGTGCTACCAAGCCTCTTTCATAAGAATGGAGGAAAGGAGAGCATTGGCTGAGCTTCCAGATTACTCTTCAAAGAAACATGAGCCCCCCCCCCCCCCAGTTTCCTTCAAAGCAACAGAGAATGACACTTTAGTACACGGCCTTTGAAACCAGACTGGATATGAAAAGTTCGTTCACCATCTTATTGTGAGAATAAGGTGATGTATGTAATCACTTCACACAGAACTGGTGATTATTGGTCATTCTGTTCTCTTACTCCCAGGTCAAATTCTGTCATCACAGTACTGCCTATAAGCCCTTCTTCTCATTTCCACCTTGAATCCCACTAACCCATTTCAGGACCTCTCCTTGAACTGTGATAATAGCCTAACTATTGTCCAGCTAATCTCTTGTCCAATTACTCTGGCTTCAGTCGATCTCCTACCTAGCACAGTTCTAGGTACTGTGGGGGAAATCAATACAATGGCCATGTTTGTGCCTGGAGAGGCTGGAAAGATGGCTCAGTGGGTAAGAGCACTGAACTCTGGCTCACTTCTCAACAACCACATAGTGACTCACAACATCTATAACTCCAGTTCCAGAACATCTGTCATCCTCTTATGGCCTCTGTGGGCACCAGGCACAGGTATGTGGTGCATATACACACATATAAGCAACCCTTTCATACACATAAAATAATGAAAACTGCCATGTTTGAGTTTCCTAAAGGACACAGCTAATCTTCCTAAAGCTGATATACTGCATGACTCCAAAACACCAAGCATACATACACGTGGGCACACACACAACATCAAAAACATCAGATGGCTCCTCACTTCTGTAGAATGAAGAGAAAGTTCTGAACATGACATCCAAGGCTCTTTGTTTTTCTGACCCTATCCCACCAGTTCGATAGTGTGTCATAATGCTGTTGTGTCTCAGGTCTTAGCCTATTCCCAGCTGTTCCCAGAATGAGCCCTACACCTTTTCATATCCTGCCATTTGCTCTCATCTGTTTCTTCCTCCTGGAATGTCTTCTCCCACATCACTGCCTTCCTGATATCAAACTCCACCTTAAATATCCTCTCTCTCATGAACACCTCCACATCCCTTCTTTTCTCCAGCAGGAAATATACTTCCCCTGTATTTTGATAATACTTTGTACTTTAATCATGGTACTTATCACATCCTGCCTGCGTTCAACATATTCATTCATTCAAAATATACCTATGGAGCAATTACAATAGGTCAACTGTGTTGGATGCTGGTGGTACAGCAGGATGGATGTATTCCAGACACACAACATGAGTTTTTAAAATTAAATGATAACATGCTTACTATAACATAGGCCACACACATGTCCAAGCATCTATTGGCCTTGGGCATAGGACAGAGAGATAGACTTCCCATGAAAAGTCAAGGGGTAAGGAATATGTGTCTAAGGAATAGACTGTGCCAAACAAATAGCTCTACAAGCTGTATGCTACCCTTTGACACCTGAAACAAGCTAACATCAGCCTTCAACTACCTCTTTGTGTGCACCCCTCTATCCAAACCCAGATCCTGAAATTCTCCCTCTGGTCAGTGCAACTACAGCCAACCTCCATCAGCATGAAGGGTGGTGCAGGGAGGACTTCAGTGGCCTGAAGCCCTAGTCATGCATCATGATCACCTCGATAGTACTAGCACAGGCACCACCAACAAAAAGTCTAATTTAATTAGTGTGTGGTTAGGGTTCCCATTTCAGCATTGTTTAACAAACTCCACTAGTGCTGCCAATGTGCAGCCCGGCCTGGCCACCATCAAAGAAGAGATGTTCATGCAGCTCCATGAAGTCCTTGTTATCTCAGGATGAGTGGTGCTAGAAAAAGGCTGAAATAAAGCCTCTTGAAGTGGGAATGGGACTGATATTTCATAATAGTCATAGAAAAGGGATAGTCTTGACCGGGACTTTAACCTGAGAAATAGAGTTTGAAATATCTTAATTTCTTATTTAAAATGTATAAATAATTGGAACTATGTACTAATTCTTTGAATGAACAAAAAATGACCCAAACATTGCAGTATAATGCAATTTTCCAGACCAAAGTGCATGAGAGCACAATGTCAACTTTTGTGGCACAGTCAAGCAAGGCTTTGTTTTTCTAAAATTAGACATCTTTCTCAATTATGCAAAGAATCTCTTCTATTCCTTTGCGAGCTGAGTTGTTCTCTTTGAAACCTTGACCCTGCCATTACTCAGGTCAATTTGCCAGTGGGAGCTAACTGGTCTATCTCTGCCAAATCTTCGTTTAGCAAGGATTTGACGTGACATTATAGATGGTTTCCAATATCATTGTCATTGATATCAGGAAATCTTAAATCTTCTTTAAAACTTGCAACTTCACTTTGAGATTCACTGGCATTATACTATACAGTGCAATACAACAATTAATGAGCAGCTAAAGATGGTCTTAGCATGTGGATGCAGATAAACAAATGGAGTAAACAGAAAGAAGAGCTTCTGTGAGACTCAAAAGAGTGAACACTTTATGCTATGATATTGACTTTCTACCCAACATTCATAGAGTCCTTTTTCTCCTTTTGGGTTTGGTCTCTTAAACAAATGGATGGGATTAGTTGTTGTTAGTTAGTTAAAGAACAACTCAAAGTAACATAAATGAAGGCCTTAGTCCAGTTACTAGGACAGAGGACACTGGGGGATTAAA